CAAAAAAATCATGCAAAAACTAAACATTTCTTTACCTTAGGCAAAACCCTGACTTCGATTCTGTCCCCTAGTTACAAAGTGTTTGGTTCCAAAGAATTAAGAGGGGACACTCAGTTAAGGATAGAAACCCAAAAATTTATCCAGAACCAAGGTCTCTTGAAGATCTGCTAACATTTGTATTAAGGACGATGTTTTTACATCCTACACAGCCTATTTCGATTTCACTTAGACTTTTGACCGTGTCGACCATGCTCTTTTTCTCTTGAAACCTTCATCTTTCGGAAGAGGCGGTAAAATCCCCAATTCAATATCTTCTTATCCGGGCTATCGCACACAAGGAGCTCAGATTTCCAATGTTATCTCCAAACCGCATGCAGGGAATGTGAGGGTATCCAGAGCAGTTTTCTTGGCCTGCTCCTATTTTGTCATTCTGTTATCGATGTATCAGATCACCGGCCCCAACTAAATATTGATGGTCGCGACACGAATGTGCCAGGTGCTGTTAAACGGCCTCAGTCTTCCAGAATATTACACTGCGATTGTCCGATATGCACGCATACCGACCGGCTATGTACTCCGGTATTTTAAATGGGACCGCATTTCAGTCCACCCCTATAAAAAGTCCGCCAGACCTAGTTAGGATCACTGTTCCTTCTTTATTGACCTCCTGGGGACTGGCGATCGGGAAAAATTGGATCCGCCCATTTTTTCTGACCTCGGAACACCGAAATTTGGCTTATCAGGAACGTGGTGGGCTTACGAGCCTTTGTCCTGTATAACTTCACATGTTATAAATTGACTCTTTTTAATGTATAAGCCTTTAGATGATCGTACTCTAGGTCCGTTTACTACACTGGAGCATTTTAACCACGGTCAGCATAACAGTCACCGCGAGGTCTTCCTTTTTCTTACTCTGGCATGTACAGTTAAATATCGTCAGTTCTATTCTGAAAAAAACATTTATAATCTGGAGTAAGTTACTCACAAATGTCGACATTCTGTAAAATTAATCTTTATTTAACAGAACTATCATGCATTTTCTACTTTGGGAAAAGTTTCCACGATTTTTGAGTGTCGAACTCACCGAATTCACCTTTTATAGTGATGGAGTTCGTGGTCCCTAACTCCTCTGCCAAGTCTTATTTTACTGGAAATGGTGCTGACTATGAAGTCTGCAACCAAATGTGTAATTTTTATAGCCGACAGCAAGCAGCTATTCATCCGTGTATCCTGTTTTATGCAGTCCCAGTGTAATGAAAAAGAATGGAGACTGAAAACTAGTAGGCTGACGGAATTTCACGGACTAAATTTTTTCTTCTGATCTATCCGAACTACCAAAGGCATTACCGCCGATATATACTGATCCGAAGTTTTTTCACTGTTGGCTGGATCGGTACTCTACCTTTGACAATATCTCTAAGCCGGAATCTAATACCATTATTATTAATTCGCATTGGCCTGTACCTCAAACTGAGAACTCCAAAGTCCAACAATAATACTCATCAGTAAGCCATCTAACAGACCGACCGACTGCTGGAGCTAAAAAATATCAGTTCCGGTGAATGCCATTGTCGCCTGATGCTATACCCAGGCTCATTTATAAGTTTTATCCTGTTACCAACGTAAAACTGAGATCTTTGCGCTTTCACAGTGGACCCAATTAAAAACCCATTCGGAAAGTTCTTTAGAATAGAGTAGAATTGGCTTATTATAGTCCCCATTGGGCGCTGTCAGTCTGTTATGGACTCGGGAGAAAACCCAAACCCAGCTAATCCATTTCAGCTGCTCTTTGACTACATATATTTGGGCGTCTGCTTTGTCAATAGAGCGGTCACTAGGAATTTGTTTTAAGTTAAAATAACCGAGTTCCAAGGCGAAATAATATCAAAAAATAAGGTTAACAAAAAGAACGATGTATACAATACAGTGATTAATGTTCGAAGCTTGTTAGTTTTTGGAACTGTGACTAAGTCGTCTTTCGTGGAAAATTGACGTTGTCCTAATGTTGAAATTATCTTCGAGTTGGTTAAATCTGGGGATCTGCTGGTTGCCGGTTGTCAGTTTATTTGAAGGATTGTTTAGGACAGGCCTTATTGTTCGCTTGAGTCTTCCAGGAGGTTCATCATAAACCTCACTGATTAGAACTGTGGTCGAATCACATTCATCCGCGACAATTGAATGATTATCTTTTTGTATAGGGATTTACCGTACTGACGACACAGATATTAACTGTGCTGTTGCCTGACGAGGCTACGAGGTATTCGGCTCAACAGTGGGTCTCTCAGCCTACTCCGTGTGCTTTTTGATATATGAACTCCACTGTCACAGTGTCTTGTTGAATTTCCGAGGTAAAACATGCGCGACCATGGAGTAAAGCCCTCGGAACAGAACCTTTCAGGCGCGGTCCGAAATTGGATATTAATGTTTGAGCTGAAACCCATCAGTTACAATGCCTGCAAAGGTCTGTTTCGAAGGCTTTACTCCACGTTCGCACATAAATTTCCTCGGAAATTAAGTAAGGCAATTATAATTTTCGCAGTTCATTTATGTATACAAGAAAAGACAGTTGGTATAGCGAAGACCTGTAGTGAAAACTGTCCTATAAAGGCACCTCGCTATATGTAACTTCATGAACGTGCATGGAGGGGCCATGTGATTTGATGAGTGTGATCTTACCGACTTTTTTACGCTTAACCGATGCCCAAAAGGTTTCTCGGCAAACAAGGGACAGCTAACTCTGCCGAAGTGGAAAATGAAGTTTGAAGCATTTAGTCTATAAGTTCCACATTAACTTCTTTTTGGGACAATCCCCATTCTGACGAGTAGGTTTGAGTCTGTTCTTTAATAAAATAATTCTGTTTGTCTGCTATAACATATGTCCCTCCGGTGGTGTGCAGAGAGTAAGTGATGACTTTCTCCACGAATAACCACGGATAGCTGACTGAATGGTGGCTCGTCACTACTCACCTAGTTTGTTTGGTGACTATGGGGTTAACTACAGCCCAAGAACAGTTTTGGGACATGAAAACAATTCTCAAAAGACCAGAAACGGAGACACTAGACTGTTGGATGTGTAGTGTAAACTTACTGGCTGTTTCCCCGTATAAGCACAGTGCATTTCTCTATATTTGTTAACTAAACGACAAAGTCTTCCCATGAAAAACTCTTCTTTCAACCGTTCCGATAAGGCCTACAACAGCTAATTTAAAGCGTTCTAAATGTAAATCCAAACCAGATTACACGGTAATAAAATCCATGCAGACATATTTCTGCCTGTAAATCAAAATAGTTCTTCGTCAAGAAGTCCTCAATGATAGAAAATTCCGGACCTCCAGGCTACAATTCGAACTGTCGCATTGCGGATAAGAAGACACATCTATGCAAGAATCTGCAAGCCTATTTGAACCCAAACTAAGTGCTTAAGTGCAAGACAAAAATCAAGAAGTTGGGGAGCAAGACCGATGTCCAGCATAGCAAAGTGCTAACACCGTCTTGCCCCAAAAAATTACCTGTCCATTACTTTCTGTGAAATTATCTGTTTCTTTAAGCCTCCGATTAATTTGCTTAGAAGGAGTCCTGCACTTTACTAGCATCCCTATTGTGAAAGAGGTTTACCGACATTTACCTTATTAAAATTGAGGCAGGCATGGTGAAGAGTGACCCTGACGCCCCGCCTGTTACAATTTTTCCAGCACAATTCATGCCTTGATCTTCCCAAGCAGTTCGTCGCACTTAATGCGAGTTGGTATTGGTAACTTAGGTGTGCTAACTCATTTTTGGAAGAAAATTCTGTAGAAGAACAAGCTACGCAGATCGTCTTTCAGCCAAAATTTGTAATGTTTGATTTTTTGTCCAAAAAAAGTTGGTGGTTTTTCATATGTGAAACATAAACTGGCTATCAGAGATTAAAAACGTATTTTCGGTAGCTGCAACTGTAGTTATGAGTTAAAATGACACACAATCTTATTGGGGACTTTATACGTCGTAAGATAATTTAGGGAATTTAAACGGAAGCGACTGTGTTCGTGATAATTATCACGTCTTAAGAGGTCTCATCACTATCTCTTACTATCTCTTAACAAACCTTAGTTAACAATCGGATAATTTGGCTTAAAATGACCGAAGAAAAAACTGTTTGGTCTATGCAACACGACTGTCATAAAATATTGTACATGTTCCGATTTTCAGTTCCGTCCTGTGCCCACGCCACTTGATTCCTTGTACGTCTGTTCTGTGGCTTTTTGATCTTGCTGGCTGGCATATTCAAGAATAGTTTCTTCATACAAGCCACGTCTTTGTTTGTGTTTCAGGGCGTAGCCCTCTTTTCCAAAGATATAAAAGTCTCTCCAACATCGTAGTTATTGTGGTTATCCTTGGACACTTAACCATTCAGCAAGGACTTAATGATTGAAATTTTCCCGACGTTTGCTATATTCGTATTGATTACGAACTTTGCCCTTTATAAAGACTGGCCAGCATTAAATAAAATCCATCAAATAGCGTTACTTAGCTTGGACCCTGTGAAGTTACCCGCCTTCAAGTTAATATGTCACGTTGCATGTCACTGTGGCTTTTCTTGGTCCTCGGGCATGCCTTCAAAAACTTTTGGAAGTAGCGAACTTTCCGCTACTGTATCATCTGCCACAGTCGTTGCGGACTGTCTCTTCATCTAACCGATTTTAGTGCGGCTAAATCAAAAAGAAGAGTGGGTCATTTACACCCTCCAGGGATCCGAGTCCCTGAATGATGCAAATGATTGTGTCCACCTCAGAAAGGTGGATAAAGGGTATTAAAAACGAAGTCTTTAAGGAGATGGCAGGTTCTACTTAAGTCGAAGAAATTGGGCAGGATAATCTTAGCAGACGACTAGCAATTTCCATTCCTCAGGGCATTCATACCCATGTCGCCCTTTGTGCACTTTCAAAGCCACAGATGCAGAAAATCGAGACTTTACAAGGTATCATCTGCGTGTAGCTTGAAGGCATAGTTGTCAAAATAAAATGTTTGCTGTCCGCGCCAAAACACCTTACACGGATGATGATGATGATGATGATGATGAGGATGATGATGATGATGATGATGATGATGATGATGATGATGATGATGATGATGATGATGATGATGATGATGATGATGATGGAAAGATGGTTTCGATGGTTGTTTTCACGAAAGTTTGCCTCTTACATATATCAATTACACCTGAATTGTTGCCGGAATTTGAACGTACGTTAACTAGACTACCTCAGCAATTAATTATGTCTCTGCAAGCTTTCCACCGATTGTGGTGACAGAAGTTTTGGTTTTTCTAGAGATCGGATTTCGTTATACGCCGACAAATGGCCTGAAGTGTAATTTGTCTACACTTATAAAAACACGCCAAAAGAGCCAGTTATCGTGAGACGTGGGGCAGCACATTCCTATTTAACGAGATTATTTGTGTCCCTAAACGTTTGTGCCAATTGGCTGCACTCATTAGGATGTTGTCTAACCTGAAAGAGGAACGGGAATTGTTTAAAAGCGTCATCGTTTAGGCCCTACATGTGCATATAGACTACATTGGGCTTCTTACCGACCAAAAGTATTTAATTGATTATTGATGTACAGGGCAGACTGACTGCTTAATACTTCCTCTGCGTCGATACTGGCAGGGCACAAACTTGAAATTTGTGCTTTAAACACAAGAAAACGTTGACACTTCCTTTGGAGTTTGCCGAAGGATCACTTGGTTAACCAAGCTATCTCTCATGTTGCCGAGTCAGCAATCTCATTTTTCCTATTTTACTTACTCAACAGCTCCGTTATGACTGTACACAGCGACCTCCTGCCAAAAATTTGAGTGGCAGTCAGCGCTTTTGGAAGAACAGAAGCGCGGGTGGGGTCGAAATAGAAAGCGCAGAATAAAAAGTCATTCCTGGCATTTTTGACATTTTACCGGGTCCGGCATACGGATTCTGTTCAAAAAGAAAGATATATTTTATTTTTTTAAAGAATTGGCATATTAAAATGGGACAGGATGCCGTAAATGCAGAACCATGAAGATTTTCATGAATATCCTCTCGATCCCTCCTTTTATTTTCCCATACAGATATTTAAGCAAACGTCTATTCTACGATAAATGCTAAAACGGAATCATTACTTTCAGCAGAACACAATTGTCAGCCTTTTAAAGAATGCCCAGTATTCGATTCAGTCAAAAGGATTGGTCTCGGAAAGAGCTTGAAGGACGATGGCATGCCTACATAATCCAAGACGAACTAAAGTTTTTGTGTGTGGTAGAGAGACTGAACAAATCTCCACCAGTGCGAGCATCCGTCCGAGACTCAACCCATTCAGAAACATCCCACAAACAGAAGGGCGTCCATTTTAAGCAAAATAATTTCGTTCTTAACCTTATTTATGCTGGCGACATCGCTCTGCTTTGAACGTTCTTCTAGAAAATGTCCTCGATCCTGGTATAAGGCTAAACGCAGGTTAGGTCAGCGTTCTACTTGACGGTCCGATCCAGTGTCCCCTAGAATGGATGGTAGGTGTCCTGATACTATCCGTATTTTTTCGATCTCGTATCTTCTTTTCCGCCGCTTTTAAAACTCGCGCCTCGCACGTACATCGCAGATGACCGCATCCTCTGTGACAATTGATTGGCTCCCCCTATCCGAGTTGTTAAAGGCCGCTGCCTCATTACCGGCGTTGGTGACAATCCCTTAGCTGCTTTGCCTATTTACTCTGTCGCTGCAAACAGTATTAACCCGCCCTCTTTTGCGTGCCTAGTTATTCTGTCCGGAAAAAGTGCTAGCATCGAAAGCGGGAGGAATAATTGCCACTACTGGTGGGTTACGGGTCGGCGAGCCGTAAATTATGCTATTCCGGACTCACATGTCTGTCAACCCTGACGAGAATTTAGACCCCGTTGGGCGTGAAGTTGCGACCCGGTACCGTGAAGTCAACTGCGATTTGAGAGCTGGCATCATTTATTCTCTCCTTCTGCACATGTTTCATCAATTATCTCCTGAATAGTTTCCCTGCGTCTCGGAACTAATTACTCTGTTGACAACTGCGCCAGGTCTAGAAAATGATTGCGGACGCATCCCTCCATTACAGAATATCTTTTGGTGTCACCCCTCAGCGTCTAGTAGCTGCACGAGTTGCAAGTGCAGCATATTCTACCCACTCTAGGAGTGATTGCATTTTCACTACAGATACGGACGGGGACAATGGTCCCGTTCTACGACACCAGACCGTGGTTTGCATTGCTGGCCTGTGGAAGGCAGAAGTATTTAACCATTAGCACACTGAAGATAATGCTCCATCAGCCAATGAAGTTGTTTTGAATGTAGAAATCTTCGCCTATCGGGGACATCGCCAAGGTAGCTGGAGTCACCGCCAGACACTAAGTACAACGACCTTCGGGCCAGGTTCAGAGAAGAAAAAGGCTAAGGTGTAGGCCAGTAGAGGGAGACTGGAGGAGGAAGAAGAAGCTAAAACAAGCTGGCAGCCGGGCGAAATACGCGTACATCCGACGCCGGAGGAGCAGACGTTCGAGGATCATGGGTGAGAGGTTTTGGAGTTGACCTGTTTTTGAATAGCCGTGATTGGCCGAACACCATCCAGAGCGTCTCGGTTTCAAAACTTCACCAGGAGGGATGAAAGCATCATAGAGAACCGCAGAATGTCGAGCGGACGGTTTTCACGGATGCGTACAGGCAGGTATGCGTCAGATAGAGGCATAGTGACGCAGCGGGAGCCCTAATTATGACCATTACAACACTTCCAGTTGGTGATGCAGTAAAAGTCACCTTATCAGATGGTTCTGTCATGCACTCCACCCACTCAAAGTGGAATTTGTTATGGAGAGCGCAAGCGGTGTGGAGTCATGACCTAAGGCGAAAGGAGGACTTGACCACGGACGGAACGCAGGCCAAGCTGGCAGCGAGATACCCACGTGAAATTAGGCGGCAAATCAGCGCGTACTGCAGCATCAAGCACGTGTGGTGCCTTTGCTTACACGTACGACCCAATCAATGGCCGGTCGAACATTCAAGGTTCCTCGGCGCACAAAACAACCAATCCACGGCCGACACGCCATACGCCGGAATGTCCCAGAATGATCAGGTTCCTAAATAAATAAAGCGCCTTTTGAGGAATTAAAAAACCGTGTTCGTGGGCTGTGAGAATAAAGTAGTTTTTCCCAGAACACGCTTTCCTACTCTTCCCATTTACAACTGGCGACACAGATGTCCGGGGTTATGCTTACAGCAGAACAAATGCAACAGTCCTTTGATGCACAACAGGCCAACTTCGCTGCTTTGCTTGCAGAAATGCGAAAAAATTAGACTCTGACTGGCAAGAGTTAACGGGAAGAGCTCGAAGACCGGATCAGAGAATTCACACACGATCCGGACGGCGGTGTGGTACCGAAAGTATACGCTACTATTTGAGGAGAACGGCCGAAAACTGGAAGCCAAAGAGAAGTTAGAAGCCCACTTTTTATGTTAGGCCAACGCGACCATGAGCGGTGCGCAAAGTTCACTTTGCTAAAGAAGTCAGTTTGTTTTTCACTTCGTTTCATTTCATCCGCCCCTCGGGCTATAACAGGACTAATCTGCGACGTCGTCACTCCGAATCCCTGTCAGGGTAGATATCGTCACCGTGGCAACGGGTGGTCGAAGAAGTAGACAGACGGGGCCAGGTTAGACGTGGAGAGGGTTCTGGGCCCGACAGTCTTCGCCAGTGGAACACCAACTTGACAAAGACGAGTTGAGAACTTAGCGGGCGATCGCAGGGCACAAGCTACACTGGCTCATGACGCCGCGGTCTCTGGTGCCGGCCAAACGAGTATCGACATAGTGCACTACAAGTAGAATTTGAGTATGCAATGATCTAAAGACGGCTTCTTAGCGCCCATCTATTTTAGCAGTAAGCCCCATCTAGTTGTCGCTATGCGACTGGCAGTTAGAAACGAAATGTGAGTGGTCTCAGTAATCCCAGTTGTTGGATGTACTGTGGCAGTCAGCCATCATGACCGGTCTGACGTCATTGTTCAAGACCTCGCTGCCTCAAAGTCATTCCCGCCTTTTGCAGTGAGCCGTTCTAGATGCGTTGATCTGAAGTTACACAACCGACAGCTCGGGCATACCAGCCGCAGCTGCCTATGCGGCCACTTGAACCCACCCCACCCCCTGCAACCAGCAAAACAAGCCACTGGGACACCACCTCTCGGCAAATGCAACACGCACAGGCTGGACACCACTTGAGCTTGGTCCACGAGCCTACAAATGCGGCTTCCACCACTGTCTCAAGAGCTGTCAGGCATGACTGAATGCAGTCAACAGCAGCCCTGGCATCGCCAGTGGCCACTGCGTCTTTTTAAGTCTCGTGATTGGGGCCTGTGAGCGCCTCGACGCATCTGTTTTATCCCGGCGGCATTGATCGGCTGAGAAAGTCAACGACAAATATGCCAAAATTACGTGACCGTAGCGGCTGTCCCCGACTCCAATCCTTAGGAAGAACATGTGGAGCCAATTGATGCTGTGAGATAAATATTGTCCGGAGGCTTGATTCACCGTCCGCCTTCCAACCTCCATCAGAAACCTTCTCCGTTCCCGTTTTTTAATTTTTGTCCAGCTACTTACCTTTTTATATTGAGTACATTTTCAGAACGAGAAGTCGAGAGAGCGAAAGTCACGATTAATTGTGTCTTCTGAATTTCTTGGTCTGCAAATTTCTCTCTTTCCCCCAATTCCTCCACCTAAGTTCACCTAATCCCGCTTATGCGTACCGTTTGTAGAGCTTCGTCTCACGGAGCCTCTCTGCTGACTAAAAACTAATGCATGCTGAAAAGTCCTACGTTGGCAGGAACGGTCTCTTCGTTCGAATTCAGCTGGATGGTAGTTTTTTGAGCGCGTTTTCCTCAAAACTTCCTCTTTCAGGCCGCAACTGTCAGCTACTGAACCTGGGTTGTCCGCTTCCACTCATATGCAACTATCTCCGGGAGAAGTTTATAAAACTAGTCGAAGGTGAGTTCGTACCCCGGTTATAGCGCCTCAGATCCGCTCACACAGGTTGAACTCTCAACCACCACGGGAAACCTACTTGGGATTACAGATGCGGCTACTTTTGAAAAGAAAGTTTCTCTGGTTGATCGTAATGCTGTTGTAATACCCGTGGTCGTCCAAAGTAGGCCTAGCGACTTTAGATTACCCCTCCCCCTTGCCATAGAGGATGATAGCGGACAAATTACAGATGTTAAACCCCTCATGGAGGATCATGAGACGGTGTATCCGGGTTTACTAGGTTGTTCACTTTGTGGCGAGCTTACTTTTCTCCTCCCTCTAGAGCTCATCACGAAGCAAGCAAACGAAAAGGATGATGGGAAGTGGCGGACCTCATATGCTCCCAAATCCATTGCTAGACAGGGCGGCAAAAGGACTAAGAAGTGAAGACGCAGTCGTAGGGATCGCTGTGTGAAGTCGGTTTGGAGTGTGCGATCGTCCGACCCTATCACTGGAACTTTTTTTACATATGCTCACTGTAAAAATCTTGTCAACGTCTATCTCGTGTTTTTATGCACAAACTTGAGATCGATGGGCTTCAGCGGACACCCTAGGGGGAGGGGTTAAAAAAGTGAGAAATGCTAGTTGCGAAGACAAGATAAACTGACCTAGATGTCACCGCCAGCCAGCAATTTCAACGCAGTAGGAAAAAATGGAAGTTGGACACGGTTCCAGTGCGGTTGGTTAGATTGGCTGATGAAGACAGATAGGCATAGGCTGGATGATGTACCATATTTGACGGCACAGATGGTACTCAAAAGTCCAGATAGTGTTGCGCCGATATTCTGACGCTACATGACAGCTGCGTGGGATTCGGCTCATCAGTGAGTACCCCAGCCTTCCCTGCTCTCTAGTAGATCCTCCAGTTTTGAGGTTCCACGTTTTTCGTCTCCTCAGAAGCGTATGCGCTATCTTGAAGCAAATCGGTTTATTTGAGGCTTATAGGCTCGAACTGAAATTTGATGCAAATATTTGGGCCGAAGTCCATCAGCCACATCGGAATAACCGTTTAATATTCCTAAACTGCCAACAGACAGCCAGAAGTACATGCATAGGTAGCACGATATCCCAGACATGATGGCCCAAACACGTGTTTCACTGATATTCTGCTGTCACATAACACAACTACGAGACGATAAAGAACGCTGGGGTACTCACTGGTGAACCGAACTCCTCGCAGCTGTGTTATGCAGCGGTGGAATATCGTCTACACACATCCCCGGACTTTTAGCTAGCACCTGTGTTGTCAAGTATGGTATGTCGCGCAACTTATGCACATAATAATGCCTGTCTGTTGGCAGTTTATGAATATTACGCGTTATTCTGCCGCTGCTGATGCATTTCGGCCCAAATATTCACATCAGTAGTCACGGCATGACCCATAGGACATGCGAGCGCAGTCAGCAGAACTCGCCATTCTTAGTTACTAAGTGACTGATGATAGTTCGACCATCGCATTCAGAGATGCCCATCATGTGCTCCACAGCAAGGTGAAGCAGGTACGCTGACTTGCTCGTGAACTAGTTTATAGTGAGAGTAGACTTGCGCATCATCTGCCGAGCTCTCTCCCCTTCCCCCGCCTGTACCGGATGTCAAGACAGAGTTAAGAAGACCGGAGTTGGGAGGGAACGCAGGTGGATGGCGCGGCCGAATCCGCACCTTGGCGCTCCACTCCATGCTACCTGGTCCACAACAAACACTTGACCACGATTTTGACCTACAACAACAACAATAGAGAGGACGTGGATGACTGGGCAGCCATGTACACGACCTGAACACCTAGTGGGGGCAGGAGCTCATTTAACGCCAGAGAACCAGGTTCCGGAGAAAGGCCAGCGCATACCAGGCTGCGAGGGCCACGGTTTGCTGATACTGGCATAGCAGACTCTTACAGGCTGCGAGGGAAGGGGACTTTCGTCGACACAAAAACTGTAACGCGGCTGATCTCACTGCAATGGTCAGCGATCGGGGTATTTGCCTCAGTACACGGCATGAAACGCGGCACGACCAGCCTGGCTGCCTTATAATCGGCCGCAACTTTTTCTGTCCTGGAAAGCGGGCCGATTGTCCGAAAAAGGACCAGGGAATGAATAGACTTATCCAATGGATATCCGGTGATTCTCTAACTTTTGCATCCAGTTCTTTTCAAATTAGACCGAGCGTTTCTCCCTTAGCACTACGCCGGTCAACTCAAAAATGACTGTTCCAGCATAGCCCAATTTGCTCAGAGCAGGCATGATCCGAAGCCTGTCGTACAGAGGGTAGACAACCGAGTGTGCGGGTCTTCAGGACGCAAGGTTCCCCTGTATGTCCAGTGTACGATGGCTCACAGTCGCAGCAGAGCATGCGTCTGGCCGCTGTGTTTGTCTTCGTTTGGGCAGGTCAGCCGTGTCAGCAGGAGGTGGGGGGTGAAATAGAGTTGTACTGCGAGTGGTACTTGCGGATGATCGCGAGGGATTGAGAAACCCCGTCTCTTGCACAAAGGAGCGAGGACTAGGTACGCGAGATTGCTCGTCCCGCTAAGCTGAAGCCGTCTGTTCATGCGGAGCTCTGTTGGTTCAAAATCGCTGGGTGTCCGTTTTGGGAAAAGGGGCCTCGTTGATTGAGACGCGACAGTGCTTTTTAAGGCTTGAAACTGTCAGTCTTCAAAGCAGTAAGCTTCATGAGAAGGCGAAGGTCGAGTGATCATGGGGATCCCCTACGCCCAGTTGCAAGAGGTGAGTGTCTCGCAAACAGCAGTCCCATGACTTCGTTTAGGGGGGGATTCGAGCCCTTCCTTTGTTTTCCTTAAACGGGAAAATTAACATTCATAGAAGTAGGACTGGTCATTAAATGAGCACCCCGTCGGAAACGGATATGTGTGCCCCCTTAAACTATGGCGCAGGGTCACCCGTAATACGGAAAAGTCGGCAATAGGAGCCTTTCGGGAGGGGAAACGTGGTGTCCTTAAACGTATCGAAAGAAACAACGTGCCTCCGCTGTTTGTCTTCTTTAATTTATTTAAAAAATACTTTGTAGGATGGAAGTTTCCCCCTCCCTCCTCCCCCCTCCAAACCATGGTGCAAAGCCACCAGTACTACGGGAATGATGACAATGGGGGACCTCTTAGGAGAAGACATGTAGTGCTTTTAAAGGTACAGAAAGGGAAGCATCGTGCTGACATTTAATGCTTGCTTAAATGCATTAAAAAGACATTTTGTGGAATGATAGCTCCGAGGGGGATGTAAACATATCCGTCCCATGCTGTGCACGCCGTGTACTTGAGGTTGACAAAAAAGGACATTTAGTATAGACACCATATTCGCGGTTTAGGCTGGAGCTAGTCAGAAGACCAATTATAGTAATTTTTAAAAAAATCAGCATTTAAGTTCGCGGCAGAAGGTAGCGCGAAACCGCCCGTAGTGCCTGGGGAAGTCCATATCCCCGTGTCCTACCCAGAAGACGTACGCCTTTGGAGGGGGCAGAGACAACACATCGGGGGGGGAAACAAGGAGGTCAGCGACTCGATCTGGCCTTGCAGCACACGTTTCCTGATTGTAAAAGATTTCTTCACGGATGGAAGCGAGTATGCGAGTTCCAGGTTCTTGTTGCAAAGAATATGAATGCGCGATCATTGGGACAGGCTAATACATGTGCTCTCCCAGCGATCACACGTTCGTCTTCTTTGCAAAAAAATTTTTTCCTCTCTCACAGTTTGCTATAGGCAAGAAGCATTTCAGTTCTGACACGATAGCGAGAAATTATTATAATGGTATTCGTTCGCATTGCTGTTTGCGACCATACGAATGAAATGTGATATGATAGACAGTTTTTGAGATTAGGGAGCTATTAAACTCGCCTACGCATAAACGGGGTTATAATGGGTTTCGGCGAGTTGAAGGGGAAAACTGTTTTACACACTGGAAAGTGCTCACCGCGATCTAATCTGATAGCCAAGACTCAGGCCCCTTTCTTAAAGCAAAAAAAAACAGTTACTATGTGTTACAAGTCATAGCCGGAGGGGGGGAAATCCATAATCTGTGTAATTATTTACTACACTAACAACACAGGTATTAGCTAAAAGTCGAGACGCACGTGTTTCGCCGATCTTGTGTCGCTGCCTGACGCAGCTGCGTGGGGTTTGGCTCGTCTGTGGGTCCCCCAGCTTTCCCCGTGTTTTCTTCTGGTATATGAACTCCAGTTCCACCTTGCGTTGTTTAATTTACGAGGAAATTAATGAGCGAACTTAGAGTAAATCTTTCGGAACAGACCTTTTCAGGCACGGTCCAAAATTTGAAATGAATATTTTCAGCTGGAGTAGATCAGTTTCTGCGGAATAACTGCGTAATATTCACAAACCCCCAACAGGCAGCTAGTAGTGTAGAATTGTGCAATTGTGTGGTCATTTAGCCAATACCTGTACTGTTTGTACGATAAATAATCGCACAATTCTATACTACTAGCTGCCTGTTGGCTGTTTGTGAATATTACGCGGTTATTCCGCAATAGCTGATCGATTCCAACTTAAATATTCATTTCAAATGTTGGACCGTGCCTGAAAAGGTCTGTTCCGAAAGATTTACCCCAAGTTCGCTCATTAGTTTCCTCGTAAATTAAACAAGGCAGGTTCATAATCTATCTACTCCAGACTGAGGTGTGGTTCAACTCGACTTCCTGTGGGCTCACCTTTAAGATCGCCCATGGGCATAGGGCGGCGACAGGACGGCCAGGCGTGACTACTTTGACCTTGAAAGGCGTATTGTCTTGGAATGTTCAGTCGCTTAGTCTTTAGCTACGAAAATGTGACTGCCGTGTCAAGCCGAAGGTGGTTGCTGAATTCCTTGGTGGGGACTGTAGCCGAGGATGAAACGGAAAAAAGGCAACCTGATGTGTGACAAATTTGTTGCGGGACTGAAAAAGGCCTAGAATCCCCGCAGAAGACCTGGCTGACAGAACACACGGGACAGCAACAGCCCAAACCTAACGGTAAACCTCCCCGTAACCTCAAAAGTAAACCTTGACCTTAACGCAATTCTAAGCCTAACACTAAACCTAAACTTAACACCAAACCTAACCCTAAACCTATCTCAAGCCCTAACCCCAAGTCTTACCTAAACCCTGACCAAGATCCTAACCCTAACCTTAACCCTAAACCAAATCTTAGCCATAACCGTAACCCAAAACCTAATTCTAACCTTGACCATAACGCTAACCCTAACCCCAACCTCAACACTAAGCATGAGCCTAAATCGGAATTCAAACCTTAACTCGAACCGGAACTATTAAACTTAGCACAAATCTTAACCCTAAACTCAATTCTCAGCCTGACACCAACTCGCATCCTAAAACTAACCCTACCTCTAAACCGAAATATCAGGTTGCCCCTTTCCGTTTTAGCTTTCGCTAATTTCCCACTAACGAATTCAGCATCCTCCTTCGGCTATACTTGCAATGCCCACATTGTGCTTACACTTGGCCTCAGGACAGCGTAACCAACCCTTATCGTCATTTTATTAAACAGTCCGGTTACGTCACATGTGACAGTTAATTGGCCGTAGTTAGTAGAACTGTTGGCTAAATGAGGCATTCATTTGTTTTCAGTCATGCTACCACTCCCCAGATCATTGTGAAGCACCAGGGAGTAGTGGCTCCAATAATAACCCGTCCTCATCGAGGGGTTCAAAGCATATTTAACATATAGGTAACTGATAGAAGCGAACAGGCAAGTCCCAGGTAGCAGTTCAGAAGATGAAGATGCGATCACTGGGACAGTGATCGCATCTTCATCTTCTGATATAGGTAACTATTTTAAATGTCCGCAATGTCAGAAGGCGGTGGTGCTACGTGGTCTAAATGATCTCGTCGTCGATAAAATCTAGATCCTGCCTTCTTTGCAGGTAACAGGGGGTCAGTAAGTACTAATAATTAAGTAACCTTTTATATCTCCCCATTCTGCTCATATCGTTCCATGCAAGCACCGCCCTTTACGAGAAATGAGAAGCTTATAGGCTCTCACAGTTGAATATTCTACGAAACTGCCTCTCGGGTGCCGGAGTACGGCGGAGAGTTCAATGTTACAATGAGCACACGTCCTCCAAATCCTCGACGACTGTAGCAGGGTAGATCAGATTTTAATTTTTAATTTCCTTAGTCGAACACACGATGAGGAGGGTGGGAAAGGGGATAAGGACATTTTGATATCAGAGGAGCAGTTATCTCTTCATGACGCAATTAGTAAGTAGACATCCCTGATCCTTGATCAGCGCAGTCCTCTGAATTTCGACTGGAGAAGATGTGGCAGATACTCAGCCGGAGATGCGATACGAAGACCCCGTTTAAATGCAAAACATGACCTTTTTATTGAACCGGGATAAATGGCGGACGCAAGATCAGAAATAAAGGGAGGAATGTACGCAGCAGCAAAGCATCAGGCTGAGGATAAGTGTGTGAATAGGGGACGCGGCCGTTGACTACTCACACTGGTTAGTAGAATTACAGTAGGTGACCCATCTCATAAAGTGTTGAACAAAATTCCCAGATGTGTTTTCGATTGGGAAGGATTACTTAAGTGAAGCTGCAGCACTCTTTATCGTGCCGTATAATTACAGGACACTTCAGTCACACCAAGAAGCAAATTTTCGAATGCGCTTCTTTCCATACTCAGTAAAATGTGTTCTTGATTAGTCCTGGTTTTTCCCGTTAATTTTTAATATCTGTATAAATCGAAATAAATTCTGAAAGAAAACATACAGAAAATATCCTCTCCTGTACTCCGCTGGTGGTTAATTACGTCTATTTTTGAATTATTTACTCAAAGAACGGGCACCCTTTGTGTTCCGAAAGTCTATCAAATGTCCAATAATTTTAAATCTAATCTGTCGTTGCATTTGCGTCTACCACCTGCAAAATACAAGCCGTGTACTTTCCATGTAAAAGATTATACATTCCTCTATGCTATTAAGAAGATACCTCATACGGTTGTATATTTCATGAGGGGTATTACTAAGCGAACAGATGTAATGCTATAGGCAGAATGATATTACCGACAAAGACAAGGGAGACTGGAATGGCCATTTCTGGCTTATTAGTCGTCGTCAGCCAGTCGTACCCAAACCCGAAGATGTGGCACACCCGAGGCTCGAACTCGCGACCTGTTTGTTAAAAGTCCACGCCTCTAACCACTGAGCCACGAGCCCGTTGCCCTGTCGGTTCTTTGTCTTTGTCGGTCATATCATTCTGCCTATATCATGCGCCGCTGTGCGGCTGTTGGTTGGGCTCGAGAGAGAGAGTCCATAAGGCACAATGGAACGAGAGAGTTCCGTAAGAACGATCGGTGAGCGCCCCCTACTATCAGATGTAATGCTATTTCAATGGACAATTCATGGTCCTTAAAAATCCCACAATTACCCTCTTTTGAAGACCGAATATATAATTTTTTTCAAGTGTACAGTTAAAGTGCCAATTCTGCTATCAAATGAGAATGAGGAGGTTTATTCTTTTGCATACTTTTTATGAAATATATTCGAATTTATACCACTATCGAGAATTAGTGCAAACATTAAATTAAATGAGTAATATTTTTGGTGTGTGCTGTTCTTGAAGACGGCCAAGGAGGACCGCATCCCAAAGCCGGCATCCTGTTGCGCCACTTTGACTCGAAGTGACCTCAAAGGCACCATTAATTGTGATTAACCATACCCCTCTAATTAGGTCGTTTATGCGACCTACTGGAGGGCAGTTGTCTGTCGTCGATGTTAAGGGATCCTACCTGCTGGCCAGTGCGGGGAAGGGAATCCTCAGTGGCATAAAGCCCCTCGTCATTCACCTTGAATTGCGGCAGAGTATTCGATAGTCAACGGAGAATACATTCTGAAGCCGCACAGTCGATACCGTTATGGAGGTGGGGAGGTAAACTAGAGGGTGGCTACTTCTCGCCCAATTGTTTTTCGTGGGGGTAGGAGGGAGGGACTGGGAGGAACGGTCCCACCCAGCCCGATGGACCAGGAAGACGATGCTGGCGAACAAGTAAGAGCCTAATATTAAAAGAAGAGTTTTATTTAGTACAATATTGAATAAAGTAAGCATAATCCGGAAAAGCAGAAGTAGACCACTTTCAGGTGATCGTGCTTATAACCAAGGTCAGCATTCCGTTAGAACTAGGAGATGGATATCATCTGTTATCTGGTAAATATTGGCTAGTCCATCAGCATTTCGACCCAATAAATAGTCCCGATCGGAACAGCTACACATAGATATGATTATATTGTCACAACGATGTACAGTACTGAATGCTGACTCGAGATCAACTAAAACTACCCGTCACGGAACTGACAAGTTCTCTTTAGAACTGTAGAAATTCAGTGGCCTTCTAGAAGTAAAAAGACGAAAATTATTCTAAAAAAGGTAAGTTTGCATTTCGTACAACATGAAATGCGGATAAGAAAATGACCAAGGAGTCCTGTGGACTGAGAACGTCGGTTCTGTCGACAGCGAATCGTCGTGGTATGTTCGTCTAGGTAACCGGTCACGTTTTTATAAAAGTGCACAAAAATGTCTACTCACAAATACTATGTAGGTCATAATGATTGCATATAAAACAAGGTGGTCTTTGAATTACCAACTCTGAATGGGCCAATTGGAATCGCCAAGTTGTCACATGATGGTTCGAATGGCATCAGCCAGACCACGTGGCGTCGGGTCGATAATTCACGCACATCGATCTTGTTGGAGGGCGGTGTCGTCCACCTCGAAGGGAGGAGGTCCTAAAACGACAGCAATATCAAAATACCATGCGCGAAATCGTCCACATTCAGGTTGGGCAATGCGGTAACCAGATGGGCGCAAAAGTGAGCGGAGACTTTGTGGAATTTATGGATTTATCTTCTAGTTTTGGGAGGTCGTCTCCGACGAACACGGTATCAGCCCCGAAGGTCTTTATAAGGGGGACAGTGACCTCCAGCTCGAGAGAATCAGTGTCTACTACAATGAGGCAACCGGTAAGCATTCAGCAATTTAAACGTAGACCATATGAACTCACTGATGTCGATCGGTTCGAAATAGAGGACCACCTGTTGTAACTTAAGTCGTACTTTAGGTTCGTAAAAGCATAGAATTAAACAACCTATCCATAGAAAAATGAGATAGGGGTCAGGAAAACAGCGCAAAGTACAATTTAAGCGACGTTCGTCAGGTGGCACGATTAAGCTCTTCGACATAGATAAAAATCCAAGGATACCATTTTCTTTCACATGTATTTGTTAGCAAAATAAGTTTTCTTTGATTTGTACGAAACGCGAACAATTTCCTTCCTCGTCCACCGTATTGGTAAAAACTTCTTTTTAAAAAACCGTTTATGGCGATGCATCTAATCGCAATCAGTCTAATCATCCTTGTTAACGTCGTCGAAGCCACTACTAATGCCACGGCCCACAAACTTGACTCAGTTTAATATGGCGCGACGGTCCAACGTCGCAAGCAATGCGTCCACCAGCGGTCCCACAGATTAGACCCAGCACCGATGGCTTGCGTGTGAATTATCTTATGCTGAGTCAGGCCTGGACAGCATCTATCACACCCCGTCCTCCCTCACCACCTCGCTCTGACGGCCAGATGTAAAGATGACCGAAGGTGGACGAGGACGCGGTGACTAACAAAAGTAAACAGCCAGTCTACCAAGTCGACAAACGACCGGGTTTCCCTGTATGCCATACATGTCACAAAGATCCAAATGTCCATCCAGCTCGGCGGATTTACAGGAAAGCAATGAAGCCAGAAATATGCGTGAACAGAGTCAATGAAGGACAGCTAGTGGATGTCCTATCTGAAATACTTGTAGTTACACTGCAAAGAGGATAATGCAGTTTCAGGGGTTAGGGGAGGGAAGGCGGACCCTTCCAGTCTCTTTCGCTATCACCCACGTCGCTGCTCCACTGGCCATTCTCTTCATGACCGTGTTGTGGTTATGCGGAGGGAAGGTGTGTAGTCTTAGCGCTACCATAATTAGGGCAAATCCAATGTTGGAAGGAGAAGACAGGTGGCACCAAAATGAGGGGTTTAATGTATACAGAACCCGGAGTTGTCCTCTCAGGCGGCAGTGGCCACTGGCAAAGCCAGGGCTGGTGTTGACTGCGTCTAGTCAGGCTTGAGAGTCCCTGAGACAGTGGTGGCAGCCGCTTTTGTAGGCTCCTGGGGCAAACTCAAGTGATGTCCAGTCAGTGCGTGTTGCACTTGCCGAGGGGTGGTGTCCCAGTGGCTTAGGTTGTGGTTGCGGGGGGTGCGTCCAAGTGGCCTCATGAGCAGCTGCGTCTGTGCGGACGCAGGTATGCCCGAGCTGTCGGTCGTGAGACTTCAGGTCAGCGCGTATGGAACGGATCACTACAAAAGGGCTAATGACCGGTCGTGACTCCAGACCGGTCGTGATGGCTGCCCGCTACAGCCGTACTGCTTGAATAAAAATCTTGGATGTGGAAATATCTTGTCCCTACAGGTTAAACAAGCCTCTTTTGTGTTATTAGACGTAGGCTATAGAGCATTCCATAACTGGAAAGATTTATTCTCCCAATCTTTCAAAATATCCGAGGTCCAGCATCGATTTACCGTCCCGTTTAAGGATGTTTGCCTGAATGTGGTCTCTTGAACAGGATTCTTTATTACTTATCTTGTAGGCGAGATCGATGAATAATTCATAATAGAGAAACTGAGAGTCAAACATAAGGACAGATGCCTTTTTTCCACGCAAGTCCTGGCCAACAAGGGGGGGGGCTCGACTTTTAGGTTGTTAATCGAATTTTGGATGGGAAAACTCCTCAAGCATGTGCCGATAACTGCATAGTACCATGGAAGTGCCCACTCCTTGTCATATAAGTAAAATGCCCTGATGGCAGGGAACCAAGAGACAAAATGAAGAAGTTTACGAAACGAAGCTTTTGGAGTTCGTGTCCTTACTTATTCCGGGGCGAATGGCCCGTTTAAGACTACTTCTGACAACGGAATCCGCAAATGAATTGCCTGAGTCCCATCAAGTACGACAGGTGTTCTCACGCACGATCTCCTCACTCCGACGTCTCTCAAGATTCGCACTAGAATGGCGCCGTTGAGAAAGCAGTCAGTAGAACACACGAGTCAGCATTTTGTGCTTGGGCACAGAAACGATTTTCTGGCCAGATTTCCACACGCTGAGTTTCTTGAAAGCCAAACAACTGACAACTTGAGAAAAGCATTCAACTGCAAATTTTTACAGTGCCACTACAGTTCGGTAACATGGGGAAGTCGGGCCAATCCAAATCGGTGTCGATCGTCAGAGCGTAAACTATAGGCACAGTTGTCGTTTGCATGTGAATTTTACTGCAGCGTATGTCGTTTAAAATTACTAAACATCGTCTGGCTAGATGTGTTGTGTAGGAAAGAGCGGTGACGATGGGATCTACAAGTCTTCGTTTTTATAACCATAACGCGCCTGCCTATTCGGTTTGTGTGGGCATTCTCTATTGGGGTTCCGTTTCTAGCCAAGTTTAATAAAATAAGTTGATTTGTGGTTAAGGTGAGGTTCGAGACTGGGGTTTGCATTAAGTTCGCTCGTCGCCTACCGTCTTACCTAATCTGGCCTTCTTCAACCCATAACCTTGGGTTATCTGTTTTTCATCCGTTGCATGCCCTTAAGTAGCATATTTTAAATGACACAGTCTGCTTCGGTATCTCATTGGAGTAGAATACAGACATGACAATAGCTTAAATTTTTGAAATGCCTTCCGCAGATTCCGTTAGCTGCTACGTTCGTCTGCTTCGAAGATAAAACTAATATTGGCATCCTTCTCGCATTACATTGGTCCATGGGCTTTATATTCTCAATGGGCCCACCTATCTTATCCCCGTCGAAAATAAATCATATGTACCCAGTAAAAAAATTCCTTCCCCACTGCGCATAGCATCCGAAGGCGAACAAAAACAGTCACCGAGTGGCCCCCTAAAAATCTGAATTGTTAATTTACTAAAAAGTTAGTATCACAGGGGAAGGCCAGTGAAAGCGACCGGGTGTTAGTTTGGTTGGATACCAGTGTCGCAACACTCCGTTACTGATGCTAATATTATTGCAGTTAGTTACCCATACTGTAAGCGTTGGTAGAGTAGCATTGGCAGCCGTGGTGGCGGTGGTAGTAGTAGTAGTAGTACTAATAGTAGGATTATTAGTAGTATTCGCCGTATCAGTGGTGGTAGACGAGGGAGAAAGTTTTCTTCAGTGTTGCGACACTGTATTCCCGCCAGTGGTAGTAGTATTAGTAGTAACAGCGGTAGTAGTGGTAGTAGTAGCAGTAGTAGTGGTGGTGGTAGTAGTAGTATTAGTGGTAGTAGTAGTAGTAGTATTATTATTAGTAGTAGTAGTAGTAGTAGTCCGCCCGTAAGACAGGCTGGTGGGGGAATAGACAATTCTAAGTGTTGCGACACTGTATTCCCGCCGTTAGTTTAAATTCCAAATGCGTAGCTGACATTTAGATAACCATTATAGGCTTTTGAATAATTTAAAATGCTTCGATTAATCAGTTCTGTCCGGTGAACACCTCAAGAAAACAATAATCTGTCGTATACGAGTCACTTCTGACCAATTTTTGTAGAAAGATTGCAATCTCCACCCTCATCCTCTAAAGTTGCAGTGTTCATTTGCTAAGCTTCCGTTGGGTTTTCAGATGCAAACCGTGGGTCACAGGGTCAGATCAAAGCAGAGCCGAAATGCCGATGTCGTACCGAATACCTTGCCGTTCGTCTGTGGTGGGATTAAATTATTAGACGTACCAAATGTTGATAGTCATGCAAAGTCAGTTGTTTGAATTCGAAAAGTCGCAGTAAAACCTTTCACTTCACACCACTCTCAGAACTACAGTTACAATGATATCCGATATTACGCCAGAGTTCTGTGACAGATAGATGGAAACCTAAATCGAGATGAAAAGGTTTGTCGGTATTAGTAAAAACACCATAGCAAGTTGGTAAACTGTCCAAAACTAACTGCACTTCCTAAAACTACATGTAAAGAACACGCTGTCTCATAATTTAGCAGTACTCATCGATCTGTTCGGCTTACAATCAGGAATTCATACCATCCGACTGGCTTCGAAAATTGAAAGTTGGCTGATGACGCCGGGCGGGTAAGAAGTGACCCTTCCGGTCCGTCCATGTTACTGACGGCAGTACCCTTTAACACTTTCCTTTCTTCACGGCCAGAAGACTTCCGTCATGAAACGGACTCAAATCATCGACCTGCCGAATGTTCGTTTTGATTGTTCCGGTGGTTGATGGATGAGCCCTCGCAATTCAGATAGTTAGACACCGAACGCGAATTCGAGAAGTCGGCAGTTCGAGTCTGTCCTCGGGTGTCGGTTTTCAGGCCCTAGGAATGTCTGAACTCCATAATTTCCCTCGAAATCGTTGCTACTTGCTACAATTACGTACCATATTAGTCTAACATTTCAAAGTGCAGTTGAAATTGACGAGTTTGTTTTAGGTTTTTTTCCTGAGTTCAAAGGGGACTGACAGTGCCCAAGGGGCGCTACAATAAACCTATTCTATTCTATTTGTTATAACACAAGTGGTCTGGGGCGACTGAGTTCATGTATTAGGGCAGAATCATAAATCCCAAATTTACGTTCAAATTTTGCCTAACGATGATGATAGCAATGACCTTTTGTTCCTAACTGCGAGTGAGCTAAGAATCTGCACGACATTTAGGTGCCCAGTAAATTCTCATTTGGGAGGTCCTTGGGGAGTTTAACTAGATGCCGTTAATAGTATAGGCGAATGAAGGTGAATTCAAAAGCTTGTCTTGTACCTTGAACAAAAAGTGGGTCTTTTTGCATAGTCCCACTCGAAACATACCCAAGACCAGGGCGCGCTCAGCTTATATCTGTTGTGTAAGGCGTAAAATGTCTGAAGAAGACTTGAAAAGTTTGTTGTTTGGGGTCCTTTTTAGGTCGAACAGTGGAATAAATCCCCCCCCCATATTGCAGACGACGTTGGGCCAAATTCCAGAAGGGGATATATATCCCCTAACCCAAACCCCCCAAATTTGGTGCAAGGCTATTTATAATATGGAAGGGATATTTATCCTCGTAGTTTAGCAATTTTTGCATTATCTTTAACTTCAATGAGATGATACAGTCGAATAATAAAGGCGCAACACAAACGAACAGCAGAATGCAGTTTGATCAGGCGAATAGTCTTTTTTTCATGCGATCAAGAGGTCGCTGACAATGGCCTCGGATACGTCCGCTTCGACCTGCACGCGTCGAATGTTGACTGCCTGCCCATCAACTCATAAAGTCATACTGATTCCTGGTCGTTCCTCACGGCAAACGTCTACCAGCATCTGGGAATACATGAGACCGAGAAGGGTGGGGTCGGGTACACAGTCCGGCTTCACCCTGTTTTTCACTGTAAATGCCTTTGGGGGTGATTCATTTCCTGTTATCTCACGCCTACGTACCGGCGTGCAGTTGCCTAACCATCAGCGCGAAACGTCCCGCTTCTCCGAATCGCGGCATGAAGTTCGACACAGAACTAAGTATCCTCCGTACGACAGGTGGCCTTGTACTAAATTCTCAGCGAATGCCTATTTCCGTCACATAACGTTAGCCTTGTCACTCCTAACCCTCCTAACCCCTGAACCTACTTCTGACGGCAACCCCAACCCCTCCAAGACCACCTGTAATACAGAGGCCCTACCTACTTTTTCGCACAGTTTTTTTAATTCCATGAAACAATACATTTATAGAATAAAGGCACAAAACAGAGGAGCAACAAAATTCAGTCCGATCTCTTGAGGAGAATGAATAGGCGAACAGTTGTCCCGAAACGTTGACGATTGCGCCCCTGAAACGGGCCACGCGGTAAACGCGCAGGAGCAATACAGGGACCACATCGCGGTCAAGCGTTTGTTGAGGATCAGGGGGTCTGAACCAGGTACGCCTACGTGCGGGTCCGGCCGCCCCAGTCATTTGCTTCCTCTTCCACCTCCGATCTTATTGACTTAGTCATGACACCCGGGGCCAGGTGGGAGAGGATGAGAGAGCGTGGCATGTGCCGTGCAAGACTACACCCAATATAAATTAATTCACGCGCGATTCACCGTGGCTGCCCTCAGTCTGTTGTGGAGCTTGCGGTGGTCATCGTCGAAACCGACGGTCAAATTGTCGATATGACGGTGGTTGCTGTACGACTACTGTCTTCTCCCTGATAATGGCTAGTATAAATTTGGAGCTTTTAATGCTTTCCTTTCGGCCCGCATGCAACCGATGTTGTCTACTTGTCTGCTATACTAACTTTTTTCCGGTCTGACAGTATGGACTGTATCTTCCTTACGTAGTCCGATCTGTTGATTATAACGGTGTCTGTTCCTTTATCCGGTCTATCAAAGCGACAAGTCATATTGATTCCTGGTCTTCCATCTCGGTAAACGCCCATCAGCACCTTGGAAGACTGAGACTGAGGAGGGTGGGGGGGGGGGAGTACACACTCCCGTTTGTCACCGTAAATGCCTTTGAGGATGATTCATTGTCCATGGTCCATGACATTATGCTGGCATGCAGGTGTCTAGTCCGAAACTCTCTGTGCCTCTGTATTGCGACATTATTTTCCAGAGGTTGTCGCGATTGGCTGTAGAGGTTGCCTCGCATTTTTAACGCTCTTCTCGCACTTGTCGGGAAACGAAGATCCGTCTGCGGGTTCACAGTGTTTCCGAATCCACATTATGTTTCCAGAAGGAGTCTCTGCTCCAGATGCGTGTTCGGGCAGTCGAGTAAGGCTTAAGCACCAGTGCTGAACACCAGCAGTGCTGACATGAGAGATTTTGCAGATCTGCCGGTTTCTTCTGTTTCATGAAGTCTTGTGGGATGTTTCCTAGTTTTCCTATACCCTGGAACAGTGAGGTAAGTTTGTTCTATGAGGTAAAAGTCGCCCTATATGTAGCTTTCGGCTGCCAACAAGTTGTGTCCGATAATGTTCCGCTGAACAACTGTTGAACTGATATAATTATTCCCTGCAGGGAAAGCAGACGATCGGGCTAGACATGGGTGTGAACTTGGGGGCGTGTGTTTGTGGGTTCTTCGCAGACTGTGGAAGAGCGATTGAGGACACCTTGGAGTGCTCAGCCCCGCCTGGTGATCCGGATGCAAGTCTGCAATCAGAGATGTTTGAATTATACAGCAACGTGAGTTTCGTGAGGGTCACATCACGGAGAACACTCAAACAAATGACTTTAAGGATGGTTACGTAAAAAACAAACGGAGCAGGAAGTACCCGACATCCCAGTTACCGGTCGCGAGTGTTTCGGCGTCGGTTAGTCAGCTGGAACCAATCAAGAAGGAGTCTGTAACATTTATCAACGCAAGTTCAACCCTAGACTAGGGGGGTGGGGAGCGGATTCTATCGACATTGATGGTTTTAACTCTGAAATATATGAGGAATTCCTGTCCTCCACTCGGAGTTCGAAATGCTGCTATTCTGTGAGAACCGCTTTATGCTGTACATGGGACAGGTTGCCTCGAGTTGGTTGTTCACTTGTGTCAGAGCAAAGTGTCCATTCAGTGGAGCATAAGTCGTGGCCTGTTATTTATGTGGGTGAAACATCCTAGCCAGCATTAGGAAATGCCTATTTGTGTGTTTGAAATGGGATTGGTTGATTGAGGGGCGGAATTGGGCACAAGGGGTAACAAGCCAGGCCGCCCAACGCGCGCGAGGTGAAAGTTTGTGCGTGCGTGCAGCCGTGACCCATTGCAACTGAATAAGAGGCACCTCAGCTCGGACCTGAGGGGTGGCCGTGCGTCCGCAGGGTGCCTGCTGGTTAGCGCGATTGGCAAACTCATTGACTGACAAAGAGGCGACCTAAAAGAGGGCACTGGAGTGGCTGCTACAGCACAACTCATGGCAGAAGGTCAGGTCATCGAAACTTTATTATCACGACCTTCATGACACTCTCACTTATGTGAGATCCGAAACCACATGAGGCCTGGGATGTATGGGTGGGGTGTGTGGACCTGGTTGTATAAAATTAGCCAGTTGTTCGGCTTTGTCAGCCACTTAACACACACTTGACAGTTTGATCGTCGTTGCCGACGATGTCCACCGTGCGCTCCACAGCAACGTGGGAGCATGTACGGTGACTTGCGCGTGATTTAGTTTATAGTGAGTGCAGACTTACGCAGCGCCTACTGCATTCCCTCATTCTACTCCCAACCTGAACTCGGTGTCAAGGCAGAGTCGAGAAAACCGGAGGTTGAGGAGGGCGCAGGTGGATGACGCGGTCGAGCCCGCACCTGAGCATTTCACTCCACACCCCCTAGTCCACACAGCAAATGACCGGGTTTATGACCAACAACAACAATGGGGAGTGGCGGCAGGGTTTCCAGTGTGCGCGACGTCTGTCGGCAACCGGATCTGCGACTGAACCCCAAAATGTTGACATTTGTTATGCTGCACAATCCGATAACGCCTGCCAGAATCTGATATGGACCCCGCGTTGGTCCAGTGCATCTACCACGTGGCCCGTTTTGGGGCCGCACACACACGACAATTCGACCCCACAGTTCGACTGCCCACGATTTCCGTCGTGTGCTACACAGTGAGGTGGGAGCATGCACGGTGATTTGCGCGTGAAGTAGTTTGTAATGACAGTAGACTTTCGCAGCATCTACCGCTCTCCCTCCTCCCCACTCCTCACCTGGACCCAGTGTCAAGACATAGTCAGGAAGACCGGAGGCGGGGGGGACGCCGGTGGCTGGCGCGGCCGGACCCACACCTAGGCGTGCCATCACACCCTACACACACCAATCTCCAGTCCTTAGAATTTTGCCTGTAGTGTCGGCAAGTCGATGTTTGAGTGACACGCGATGCAGGCAGTCAGCTGACAAGGCGGCTCAGGCACTGACGCCACACTGATAGACGACCACAGAGGGGTTTCGGTCTGGCTAACGGTGAAAGAATTCCCGCACCCGCCCCATAAGACGGACCTTGTCACTTGCGGTGATCGACCTAGCGCGTAAAGCGATTTCTTCTGACAGATGTGACTGCTTATGTTTTTACGAACTTTAAACATGGGCACGCCTTTATGTCATTGCCAGCGGCAATCCAAGCTGCGTATCGGTACCAGGTTTTGTGTTACTCTCTCAGAAAAAAAGAGGGCCTGCTGAAATTTAAGGGATTTACTTATGCTTGCACTTGCTTCCTGTTGATGCCTGAACGGTGCATAAGCGGTCAGCTGCAGATACGCTGGGCCAAAGCCGGGGCCGGACTTGCTCACGACGCGCGCCTATCGGGCTGCGCTCAGTCCAAACGAGCGAATAATTATTGTCATGCATACATGTGGTGATGCGCCCTAGACGTCGACCTTCAAGCCCCCACGACCAATGCCGTCACCAGTTGGCTGGCAGGACCAGAGATTCACCTTCTTAATTCCCATTCAGAGGGGGAAGGCGAATGAGGCCAACATAGATGTGTCCATCCTCACGGCACATCAGAGCATTCCTCCCTATAACCAATCTCGAGCGTTTGCATCTATTATGACGCCCTACTGGACGTAGTTTTGAGGACCAACAACCAAAAGAACAACTCGACCCTTCCCAGGGCTGGTGGTCAGGCGAAAATGGCTGCCTTTTAATGTGGACTTTGAGGCACACTGACTGACGTGAGATGCGGGTCTCAATTACAGTATCCATGTGCACTCAATGAAGACCATGTCGTAAGGGAAACACACTTTTTCCTCTACCAGTCACTGCGCTGCGCCTATCTTCGACAATTCTGACACTGCCTTGCTAACAAAACGAGGTTAGTGAAGGAGGAGTGTGTGATATATACTGTGCAAGCTCACTTCAGTATTAAATTATTCGCGCGCAAGTCCTGCGTGCAGTGTCCTTTCCTCAAGGCGCGCGTTGGACTTCATTACTTGCGGTAGTCAGACCGTTAACTACATTCCCCCGCTGGAAACTTCCTGCCCTTCAGTAATCGGTATAAACCAAATAAACATTTTATCAGATGTGGTTATTCAGCCGCACCCGAGGTCCAAAAACCCCAACCGCCTGTAATACAGTACCAGTGGTGATAGGGGTTTTTACAGGTGGGGCTGGGGAACGCACAGGAGACGAGGTCAAGTAGATGGATGCAGAAGAAAAGCTATTGGGAATGCGCGGTTGTACTTTGAGTGGTTGGGAAATAGTTGCCCTAGCCCCTAACCCTGACCCCCCCCCCAATCCTGACCCTAACTCTAACCCCTAACCCTACCCCCTAACAGTACTGTGTCCATCAGGTGCGGTTGCATAACCACATCCTTCCAGACATTTTAGTCAGGTAAGCGAACTGGGAGAAAGATGACGCTCTAGAAACATTAACCTTCCCCATCAACCCAAGAACTCGCACAACTAACCTGCCGCAACAGTTCGGGTTCTTCTGCTAGGTTTCAAAACCACTGACTTCTGATATCTCTTATTTTGATCCCGCCATATCCCATGCCTGCTGGCGTACCAACTGTAAGCGATGGCGGCGGAATCTGGATACTCCATGAGGCCGACGCTGACTCCTTGACTGTCGTTTTAGGCGGGAAGTTTGTGCCAAGAGCAGTCCTCACGGACCTGGAGCCCGGTACGATGGACGCGGTACGCTCGGGTCCGGTGGGGAACCTCTTCCGCCCCGACAATTTTGTGTTCGGCGCGACTGGCGCCGGCAACAACTGGGCCAAAGGCCATTACACGGACGGGGCTGAGCTGATCGACAGCGTCACGGAAGTGGTTCGTAAGGAGGCCGAATACAGCGAATGTCTCCAGGGTTTCCAAATCACCCATGCTCTCGGTGGGGGCACTGGCGCCGGTATGGGAACACTCCTCATTAGCAAAATTCGCGAAGAATTCCCCGACCGAATAATCTGCAGCTTCTCTACCGTGCCCTCACCCAAGGTAGGTGAAACTGTTCAAATATTCTCTCTCCCTCTTCCTCTGCCTCCCTCTCTTTCTCTCGAGCGGAGGGGACCATTCAACTGTAGTCGCAAGACTGATTGGCAAAGAACGTAATTTCCGGTTAACGCGTACACGGCCTTATGTAGGCTTTCGACTGCAAATTCTTCCCGTTACCCAGATAAGCCAAACTCAAAGTACTTGTGGGCGTGTGCTGGTCGAAAATAAAAAGTTAACCAAATCGGAATTCAAGAAGACAGAATTTGTAGGTCTTTACTGCGGCCAGGAGGTCAAGGCAAATCTAGGCAGCGATAACAGCTGTCTAACGAAGCCGAGAGTCAGTCGTCTATGTTTTCAGCCTTGACGTGCGGTGCGTGCGTGAGTATGGGCCGTGTCTGCCTAGACAATAATATCGATCGGCGTCACGGGATCGGCAAGTCGATGTTTGAGTCATACACAATGCAGAAAGTCAATTTGCAAGGCGGTTCAGTTACTAGCGCCACATCTCCATCTTTTCCTATCAATTTCACCAGAATGACATTGGCGACGAAGACAAGGGTGACTGGAATGGCCATTTCTGGTTTATTAACCCAGGTGTACCACAATTCGGGATTGGGTATGACTGGCGGACGACGGCCAATGAGCCAGAAATGGCCATTCCAGTCTCTCTTGTCTTTGTCAGTAATGCCATTCCGCCTATATCACGCGCCGCTGTGCGGCTGCTCGTTGGGCTCGAGTGAGACGCTGTAAGGCACAACGGGACGAGTGAGTTCTGTAGCACAATCGGTGAGCACCCTTCTACCATAAATTTAACCGAATTTCTCCCTATAAATTTAAAAAATGGAATGTTTTCAATCATATTTTAGGATAGTGCATCTTTTTGAAACGTGTTGTTTAAAAAATATGAAAATGGACGCCAGAATAGCTCTGTTGTCTGCGTGTCTTCTCAAACACAAACTGAAGTTTCACTTCATCCTAGGGCTGCCATCCTACAGCATGAGTGTTCCCTGAAAACAATTTGATATGCCGGGTGAAAAAATATAATTCCTTTGTAGATTGCTCCTAAGTTTGGAATCAAGTCCCCAGGACCACAGTAGTTTGCTTTAATCTCGAAGTCCATGCCCATATGAGGAGCTGACCTAATGCTCACACAATATCAAAACATATACAAATTGTCTTGCATATGCTACATTCAGCATAAGTTAACCTGCAGTCTTCCCCTAAAGTGACTCATTCGGTGAAGATTTCGAAAGCTGCCAGCAGGTCTCTCTCAGTCCCATATGGCTCAGGAGTATCGACAAAGGCCAGGGAGACTGGGATGCTCATTTCTGGCTTATTAGCTGTCGTCAGCCGTCCCTACTCAACCTCAAGTCTGCATGATCTGGGATTTATACCCGGAATTATTGGCCATTGGGTGTTACATCCAAGGTTCTACCATTCAGCCATGGGGCCGTTGTCCTGTTGCTTGCGGTCGGGAATAGTAGCTAATACGACGGAAGGGCGTTCATCTATCAGTTTAGGAGAAGTAAACTTCCCATTGCACCTTCGGGCTCATTCAGACAAGACCAATCGAAAGGACTACGACTGGGCGTTCAACACGCCACCTTCCCCCTTCCCGCTTCATTCAAAAAAAAACAATTGTGTATGAGTAAACCACCGGTTCGTTCACAGTATCGATTATGTCACATGACTGCGCATTCTTTGGGATCTTATTCCGTAGCCTTGCATGCAGCAGACAAGCCCCAGCCAAACCCCTAACCCTAACCCCTATCAGGTACGGCAACGAAATAGGATCTTGCCGCGCATTCCTCGTTGACTGTCGAGTACTGCAACTATCCTAAATGTTCCGCATAATACCCATCCCCACTCCGATCATCAGGTTGTCTGAATACGCAAAGGCGGAACATGTAAATTCACCAGCACACAAACGTCCTCCAGGTAGCCCACTTACATAAAGCCACTTGCAGTGAACCCTCCTCGATCGCGGAGATTACGTTCCAGAACCCACCGCGAAGAGCGAAGATAAGCGAATTAAATGTCACATATTTCTATCGTCAATTTGACATATTTTAGGCGCCTATTAATCCTCTCACATAATTGTGCAGAACAAAATCTTTATACCATCTTAGATACCAGCCAAGATTCGTTGAAATTACGTATGTAAACACATACTCTCTGCAGAAATCCGCAAACGTGCCAAAAATCTACGATCTAGATTAAGATATGCTTGCGTATAAAATCCTCGATATATATACTAAGATACACTTGCACATAAAATCTCCGACAGAATGAAGCCGCGGAAGCCAAAGCGCGATATAACGAGGGATTACTGTATTCAGTTCATCCAGGAGTGTAAGAAGTGCCTTAAGGGTCATTTCGACTAAAAGTAATAATTATCTAGAATAAAAACAGTATATTTAAGTTGAAGAGACAGCACGGCAGAGTACCTGAAATATTTCGTCCAAGTCGATGAGACCGTGGCTCCGTCAATCAGTATTCGGTCTTGTCTCATGGCGGAGTTAATGTGCTGACGGCTAACTCTGGATTTCTTAACATGAAATTATTCTCTTCCTTGAAGGACTCATCATAATCATGATTAAGTAGTTGTGTACAAACTGCGTATAATAAAGGAAGCATTTTTGATTCCCCCAAGGGGACATGATTGGATTCATAGAGGCATCGAGAATCGATGGAAAAACATGAACCCGTTCGCCCCCGTTCGTACAGCGGACCAACGCCTGGAATTTCAACAGGCAACCCAGTCCTTAAAAAACAAACACCAGAAAGTAGTTTACCTGGCTGTCCGTACTGCAAAAAGTTGTATTGCCATTAATCAGTTGTGATAGAAATAAAAGACGGGGTCACGCCCCCTCTACCCATCTCGCTTTTGCTCCACCACTAGGTTGTGGACATGTGCTAACAGGGCTTTTTAATTTCCTGCGAAATTACTGTTCGGACTGGAAGTGCATTTTCCAGCACAAACCTTAGGTTCGGTCCGAAAATCAATGTGGATACTTGAATTGAAATACGTTAACTTTAGATAAATCAACGCGTAATATTTACATTTAGCATATCATGAACACCCGCCATGCCTAGTCCGACTCACCCCATCGCCCAGCGCATCCACGATCAGCAGTTCCGCCACTGCTACCATCTCCGAAACCGACACAGGCACCGCCGGCTTTTCCTGTCCACACTTCATTCGTACAGTCACCTCGCACATCGGCCTGGTCGGTCACTTGAGAAGCCATCGCACAAAGACTGGCGATCCAGTGTCTGGAGCGCCAACATACACCAGACGCATCCGCCTCAACTTTCCGCACTGCACCCGAACATTCACCAACCGCGTGGGTCTATAAGGCCACACGAACATTCACGAAAACTTGCGATAGGCAACCTCCGGCTGAACCACGCTATCACCTCTATCTCAACCCACATCACACAACATCATCATCCACCGCAAGCATCCAACTCCCACTTCCCACGCAAGCGGGAAGTGTGTGTCTCGGCTCCGTCTCCATGATACTTCTTTGCTGCATGTGTATTCAAGTCTAAGGCTATTACGGCGCGTCGAACGCTGTGGCTTGGAAGGCTGTTGACTGACGTCCCTATTCAGTCCACGCAGTCTGTCCAGGTGTGTGCGTATATCTGGAGTGGCAGACTGAGAGCCGAGCTGAAATAGCTCCTTCCACGGCACTCTCACGCGTGTGAGAGTTACGCCGCTCAACCCTCCCCCCTGTAGAATCCTGGTGCTTGCGTTTGAGGGGGGGGGGGGCAGATCGTGCATGTGACGCGCTCAGACAAGGTCACTAGATTAAATCAGTCACCGCGCTCATTCCCCGCCCCAGTCAATTGACCGGCTCGGGCAGTAACTGGGCCTCGGAATGAAAAGGGAGAGTGAGGTCCACGGCTCAGCGCATTGTCCTCACTACGAGCAATCTGACGCGCCTGAAGTTATCACGGTGCGCTAAAAAGCGTGGCTTGGAAGGTTGCCAACTGACGGGATAACTTGGACCTCGCAGTCGGCCCAGTGTTGTGTGTCTGTGTGGAGTGGTCGGCTGGTGGTCTAAGACTCAGGTTTCAATGGCTCCTTCTTAATGTGGCCTTTAAGGCACTCCCACGCCGCGGGATCCGAGCCAGATGTGAAGACACGCCTAGGTGCGGCTTTTGTCGTGCCAACCATCCTTTTGCTCTTGGTTAAAATTCTGGTCATTTGCTGTGTGGACTGGAGCACCCAAGTGCGGGATCGACCGTGCCATCCACTTGTGCACTTCCCCGCCTCCGGTCTTCTTGGCTATGTCTTGACACCGGATGGAGGAGGGAGGGAGGAGGAAAGAGTCCGGTAGATGCTGCGCAAGTCTACATTCACTATAAACTAGATCACTCGCAAGTCACCGTACCTGCTCTCACCTTGCTGTGGGGCACACGGTGGACATCGTAGGCAACGATGCTCTAACTGTCTTGTGTGGGGGTTGAATGAAGTAAATGCAACGCAGGCCTGCCTAACTTTTAAGAGATTAATGTACGAGCCACGGCCGGGTCTAGTCTTGAGCGGCAACGTACCTCGTTGTTTTTGACGATTTAACTGCCTACTTCTCATGATTATTACGTTAGTCTGATTCCTGGTCTTGCGAACAGGTATGCTGTCAGCTGGCAATCACCAAGACCACAATTTTAATGTGGTCTGATAGTTTAGTTGGTCTGTAGTGAGAAAATAGGATGCGGACATTGTCCTTCATTCCCAACAGAGTTCCGTCCACGGTCTTCTTGAGTTTTCTGACACCGAGGTCAGGTCGGTGAGGAGGGTGAGTTCGGCAGGTGCGGCGCAAGTCCACTGTCACTACAAACTAATTCACGCGCAAGTCGCCTTGCCTATGCCCACTCTGATGTGGCTCACACGGTAAACATCATCGGGAACGACGATCGAACCTATCCAAAGACTGGGATTTCTTTTCAACCACAGACCGGTGGGCTCCAGTGTTCATTCGAGAAATTTCTACCGATAAGGAGGCTGAAACAGTCGTTTTCGATTTTGTGTTTTCACCAGCTTTCTCGGCCATACCGCAACCTATTTTTGCAGGTCCAATTAGCCGCTGGCTTGTTTATTAAATGCAACAGACAGTTGAAGCACACTTAAGGTAAAGGAAAAGAGGTAAAAAATTTTTACTCTGCAGGCATCGTGGTGAATGCGAGCAACGATACGACGTGGTCCAAAATTAATAAATAACATAAACATGTGTTACTTGAATATTGGTAGTAGCATCGTCATAACACTCAATTGTCAACGTTGGCTATCAAGTTGGCTGTAGTCCGACGTTATTGCGGTGCGCACTCCAATGTTGATTTAGCCTCCGTTTAAAAGTGTCCACGTATCCCGGCACAACAACATCCTCAGGCAAAGCATTCCAAACTGCAACCACTCTGTTGGCGTGTCTAGCCGGGCACCAGTCACACGTAGTTTGAGTGGATGTCCTCTCAGTGTAGTCGTAGTCGCCAACTCGAAGAAGTCTGAAAATGCGAGACAGCAGCCCTGATTGCGCAGGATGCGGAAAGCTTGTATCAGGTCCCCACGTTGCTGTGTGTAACACAAAGGAAAGAGGTCAAGATCAGCTTATCGTGTTTCGTAGGGTAGTGACCACTGCCCAGATACAAGTTTCGTTACTCGTCGGTGAACTTTTTCGAGTATGCCGAGGTCTTTAGCGGTCCAGGGTCCCATGCTTGGATAGCAAACTCTAGATGCGGTTGCACAAAAATTCGAAAGACCTTGGCGAAGCCATCTTCATCAAAGGAAGAGAACACCCGTTTGACGAGGTATAGAATGGACGTCGCCGACTTGGCTACCTTTGAGCACTGCAGCGAAGGCTTAAGCGAGGTTGGGATCCATACACTGAAGTCCTTCTGAGTGTCGACTTCTTGCAGTGGTTTGCCAATCGGACTGTAGACCGTGCGGTTAGGAGAACTGGTTCCGCCGACGCGTAGAAAGTTACACTTGTTTACGTTGAACGGTAGAAGCCAGTCTTTTGACCATTGCTCGAGATGGTCTAGATTTGTCTGCAGCTGCGCCTCGTCATCTTCGCTTCGTATGGTACTCCAGATCTTTATGTCATCAGCAAGCATTGCGACATCGCAATCCAGTTCATTTGTGCAGTCGTTGACGCATACGAGAAACAGTGTAGGGACAAGAACAGAGTCTTGAGGAACACCACTCCTAACGCCAACCTCGGCAGATTGCTGGGCACTGACGTGGACGGCTTCAGAGCGGCCGAGTAGCAAGCTTCGAATCCACATCAGAAGCTTACCCCGCACTCCTGTACGGCTGAGTTTGTATAGAAGGCGGTGGTGAGGCACACTGTCGAAGGCCTTTTTAAAGTCGATATGGACGGCATGCACCATATCTCCTCTATCAACTGCCCGAGTCCACTGTTCCAGACAGTGCAGCAAGTTTGTCACTGAGAATCTGCCTTTTTTGGAATTCATGCTGGGAATCGGAAATCAGATGGCTTTGTTCAAGAAACTGCATTAATTTTTGCCTTATTATTTTCTCCATAACCTTGCAGCAAATGGGGGTGAGGCTGACAGGTCTGTAATTGTTCGCAGAGACCCGACTTCCGCCCTAGTCAGTAATGCGGTAGTTTTCATTGAAAAGTTATGTAAAAGCAGGGAGATTAAAACCCCCTTTGTCATTTCTGCTGGCTTTTCTGTCGTTAATGATATTTTTCGTGAGAGGCATATGTGACAATTGCTTTCAGGCCCCGGATGTACTTTCGCCGCATTTAGGAGAAAAAGTGCCCCGCATAGTGTATTTCATGATAAGTCCATAAGTTGACAAGTACAGGTCTGAATGGAGCTGGTTAAATGAACAAACTGTGCTCGATGCAGCAAATCTTTGTATCAAACGACTGGCAGCAGTTTATCTGACGTGCCTAATTCAATCTCTTAAACGGCACAAAAACCAAATGCTCGAAATTCGACTGTAGTTTGAAGATTCCAGTGAACTGTGATGAGCAAATTTTGCTGATGACGGCTTCATGGCAGGGAACTGGCGTTAGGCAAGATGGGTGGCGGCACAGTCGTACAATCAATTTCGGTCATTTTTCTTTGCAGGCTGGCATCTGCTCATAATGCTGTCGAAACGAGTGTTATTGCTCGCCCAGAGACAGGTTGTGCATACTATACTCAAGGAATGACCAATGAGCAGTTTTTTTTACCGTCTCTCCCAAATTTCCAGCTATCCCCAGTGGTAAAGAAGAACTGACTAGACAGATGGTCGCGGGGAGTAAAGCAGCGCGACGGAGCTATGGCCACCTTCCAGGGCTAACCCTGGCGCTGCTGGGTTGGATACTCCTATAAGTACCCCCTCGTACCATGGATGGCTTTGAGCTAAATACCAGGCGCCACCTATTCGGGTGTCCTAACCTCAACACTAGCCCACTCAATCTTAACTCCAACCCCCTAGCCTCTTAGCCCTAACAAAACGGGATCAGTGTGTCACGTATCGCGGTCGGTGAGCACCCCTTTACAACTGCATATGCCCGGTCGCAACCGACAAGACGACGAGCCCGTGGCTCAGTGATTAGGGTGCCGGAATTCTGTCCAACAGATCCCGGGACTGGGCCTCAGCGATCTCTGAACCTGGGGCCAGGCATAACTAACTAATGATAGTCATTCCAGGCTCCCTCTTCTTTGTCGGTAATGCCATACTGCACATAGCTGCGACTGTCCACTACCTTAAACTGTCAGCTTTGCTCTGGTCAGAAAAAAGACGTAAGAACAGCCAGGCTTTTGACCTTAAAGGATACAGCAAATGATCTAAAGTGAGGTTCAGGCCGTGTGGGACACTCTTACCTCCGAATGTCACTGTACATCTTTTTAGTAGCAACCGACGAACGCGGTTGGAAACCGGTCTGAGTGCTCCCCCCGTACTGCAGGTGGTCTTGCGCTAAATTCTAAGGGGGTGTCTATTCTCTCACTCCCGTAACCCTCACATTAACGTCAACCCCCCACTGGATTTAGGCGCACTTCCACCTGTAGTACGGGGGAGGGTCCATGTTTCCGCCCACTACCCCAGCCACTTATTGCCATGTCTTAATCGCCGCACCAACTGTTCTTAGTTCTCGATAATCTGAAGGTCGGACGTGGGAACATGGACTTTCCTCGTACTACAGGTGGTCTTGCATTAAATTCCAGCGATGGCACCTATTCCCGTGTCCTAATTGTGACTCCGGCCATCGCCCCAAGGCCAACCTTTCTAACCCCAAGCCGAACACTAACTCCAACCCTAACCGAGCCATATCAACGAGAAAAACTACAGACCGCCATGTGATCGTTCACTTGAATCCCCAGTGAGGGCAATAAATCAACGCTAGGAAAAGGCATAGGGGAGCTTTGACCCATTCTACGCAGTCCCGCCCCGACAGGATAACTGGGGCGCACTTGAGGCCACCATGACTTCTCGAAACATTGTCTGCGAATGATGTGACTTTGTTCTGGTGGTTGTGATCCTAGTATCAAGAGTTCCCTTTAATTAGGTTTCATGTTACCTCTCGCCGATGGGGTGAGGACCGACAGTTTATGTGGATCGACGGTGCAACTCATGAGTGATGCGCGATAGGAGGACCCCGCAACTCCAGACCAGTTACTGCACCACAACAATCGCTAGTCATGCAGTTTGTTGCTGGAGGCAAATGTGCACGGGGAGTGAGAGAGAGCGAGTGAAGCAGACGCTTCGAAAGTCTTCACAGTCAGAGCGAGTTCATGCGAAATTCGCCACTGAATTCCCCCCTACTGATGGAAGTTTTCCGCAACTTCACCAAACAAGCCATCAGTTGCAGTGTTCGAAGCGCCTTGCATTAATTCAGATCTGAGACTTTGTTGATTTCGGTTAAGATAATGGCTAACTGATTGTGGTGCAGGAGTCAGTATTTGTGTCCCCAGACTGCTCATTTCCTTTGTACGTAAATTAATCTGCATTATAGGTTGTTTTTTGCCCTATGGTGGCAAATGCGCTAAGGCATCTCTTGTTATCTTAGTCTCCCTGCCATTACGATTTAATGTGCAGTGGGCAGTTAAGATGTTGCAATCTCCGATCACCTCACCAACTGATAAAGGTATTTCAAGAACTGTATTCATTTTCAGTTTATTAAAGGAAATAAAGGCGAGTGCCTTTGAAATCCCTATTGGTTACAAGTCGTCGGAGGAAAACATTGATAAGTTGGAAGGGGAAAAAAGCTTTCGTACATAACTGCGGACAGCTGCCAGCTAGTCGAAAAAGAGTAATCATTAACGGTTACTTACTAATCACAAGTAGTATAAACGTACGAATGTTGGTGCTGGGTTATGTGAGTGGATGGGAGGCTTATAATTGGGAAGCTTGATACACTTCAAGTCTACACTTAAAGGAATTAACACAGGAGGAGATTACAACATCGTTAGGCAGACCATTCCACGTTGCAACCACTCTGTTACTGAAAAAGAACTTTCGTCCATTGATCCTTGCTTTACCTGAGCTTAGTTTTAGGGGGTGATCGCACAAAGTGGGCGTGTTGGCTTGAGTGAAATAATCAGTGGGACCTAAACAACAGTCTAGGCCGTTGATAATGCGAAATGTTAGTAAAAGGTCACCACGTAATCGCCTGCAGGAAAGAGGAAACAGGTTGGGAGTTTGCAGTCTGGTGTCATAGGACAGTGCTCCCAGACCTTTTGTCATTTTGGTCCCCCCTCTCTGGACCTTCTCCAAGACGGTATAGTCCTTGGCAGTCCAAGGTCTCCACGCCTGTATGGCGTATTCTAGTTGAGGCCGCACTTAGGTGCCAAACATTTTAGGAAAGCAGCCAGGGTCAAATCCCATAAAGGCTCGCTTA